TATATATATATATATATATATATAAATATATATATGTAAAAATCTACCACACACACAATAAAAAATACAAAGAAGTGGTAGCTCTTTTTCTTTTCCCCCCAAACAAATTTCACCTAATCAGAGTTTCCGCTTCAGTGAAATGTATTTTACCCACATGGAAACTGTTATTTTGTGGCACTAGTCACTAGTAATTATAATCTGATTTATTTTTAAAGCTCATCTTGGTACATGGGTACAATTATTTGTTGCATTTAATTAATGTGCTTTCTGATTATTTGTGTCACTTTTTTTTGTGCCTTACGGATAAGCCCTCATTTACACTAGAAAAAGCCGGCACGTACAGCTCCGTGCTGCACGCATGACCATCATTTCGGGCAGCTCCCGGGAAGGACAGGTGCTGCTGTACGCCTGCCCTGCAGGTCCGTGCGGGTGTCCGTACTCATACGCTGACAGGATGGATCTTGTCTGCGTCTGAACCGGGACACCCGCACGCGTACAGACCTGCACTTGGGGTTAGCGTAGGGCGGCGTATGGCCGCGTACTTCCGTAGAGAAGGACGGGGGCTGCGTACTAATCGCACACAGTACCTGTCCTTCCCGGGAGCTGCCGATATGGCCGTGCACGCAGCACAAAGCTATACGTGGCGGCTTTTTCTAATGTGAAAAGACCAAAGTGTTGATGGATGATAAGAGTGAAGTCTCCGCCGGGCTGATGTGTGACGAGGGTTTCCTGATATATGTAGCTGTAGCAGATGATTGTGCGGGTTTACCTGGCTTTTGGACCCGGGAGATGCAGAGCCTGCAGAGGACGGCATGCCTCTGGTGGCGTCCTGCGACACGACTGCCTCGGGCCATATTCCCACCAGACTAACACCAACTTCGTCAACTGCAAAAAAGATAATATAAGAGCTGAGTGCGCTGTGTTCTATTGTCTGCTGAGCGATGCGCGCACCTTTCGATCCCCCGCTCATAAAACGCGTTAACGACCCTGCTAAAGTAATACAAAGTGAAAACGAGGACTGTAAATTATCCAAATGATCCATGACATATTGCAGCAATTCATCCTCTGCATTCCTTCAAAACAGAACAATTTGTATCAATTATACACACGGCGAAACGTGCGGGGCCCGTGAATCCGCAGTCACGTGGCCTCATTTACATACATCACATTAAATAGAGCCGAACGATAGCATTTCAGCCGTGCCTGTTTTGCTGATACTGGCGGCTTGATCCCGACGTTGAACAATGTGGAATATTTAACGTCAAAAACCTTCTTTTTCACCTCATTGTTTACATTTCATTCCTTTACTTTGTTGATTAGAGCTGAACACACTTCAGCTGACGTTCATTGGCTTGCGGCGTTTGTGTTTAGTTCACAACTGGAGCCGAAGTGCTTTATTTTTCTTTACTTTTAGACAAAAGGCACTTATGCCTTCCCCTCCCCTGATCTAAACAATTCCACCCTCCCCCTCCTTAGATCTGTACTTACCAAGATCCAAGGGCAGCTTCACCCTTGTTTGCTGACATCCAGCAATGCAAGACTCTTCCTCTCCTGGCCGCATCCATCTCCCAGCTGGAGACAGCCCCATGGAAGTCTATGGGGCTCTAATGTGCAGGTGCAGCCAGCAGGTGGCGCTGGAGTGTAAGCAATACGGGAACCACACTTGTCAGATCTCGGTAAGTAAGGATCTGCAGAGGGGGAGGGTGGGATCATTTAGGTCAGGGGTGGGGGCAAAAAGGTTAAAGGAGAATTATGAGGCGAGTCATTTTCACTCAGCCTCATTATCTGAGCCGACCTGTGACAATGAAACTGTCACAGGTCGGCTCAGTAGATCGGGAAGTGAGCGAACACATATCGTCGCTCGCTCACTTCTCGATCTATCCCTGCAGAGAGCTGTGACTGTCACTCATGGCTCCCTGCAGGGATTCCGCCCCTCCCCTGTCCAATCCTCCAGCGCTGACTGGAAGCAAGGACCGGGGAGGGGCGGGCACAGCTGGCTCTGCCTCTAGATGGGCAGAGCCAGCTGTCAATCCCGCAGCTAGGTGGATCTCGACAGCAATGTCGGGATCAATTCCGGCTGCGGCCTCTCAGTATACCGCGAGCTGTAGATCGCGGTATACTGAGCTTTGGGTCACGGGAGAACGCTAAGGGTCCCATGACCCTTAGGAGAACTATGGGGAAAACCCCTGACCCCATAGTTCTCCTTTAAGTGCACTTTGCTTGCAGTGTGCAGCAGCCTTAGACGAGGAGCAGTGCTGGTGGAGGAATAGCAAGCATCTCTTTGGGTCATGTGGGAAGGGGGGGTGGCAGGTGTGCCTGCTGCCTCCTTTCCGGCCAGAGCGTCTAAGGTTGTCCTGCCCAGCTCCTGGCAAACAGGGATAACAGTGAGCTGGACGGGATGCTGGACAAAGCTGGAGCCAGGGGTAGTAATGTGCGCCAACCCCTCCAGCCCCCCAACTGCCAGGCCCCCTGAAAATGTGCACCACCAGAACCACCTCTACCCCATCTGGCCTCAGGCGGTGATACATTTGGGGACACCCCTGCCCCTAGCCTTGGAGGAAGTGGTTTGAATGATTCTGGCCATCATTGAACACAGAAGACTGAGGACATCTAGTGGCAGACAAGAAGTACTGCGGGAGACATCATTGTATGAAAGGTAAATATTGCAGCAAAAGCTGTTTTTTTTTAAATGTTATCTTTTGATGACCTGAAATTTGTTTTGTTTTTATTATTTTTGACTGGAGCTCTGCTTTAAACCATGCCAAAAAAAAAAGTTTAAGAATATCTGAGGTCACATTGTCTGCTTCCGGAAGAGCAAAAAAAAAAGCACAGACATTTCCACGAAGTAAAGACAAAAGAAAATGTCACCCAGAAAGGTCATAGAGTTAAGAAAAAAAAATAAAAAGAACTGGCCCGAGATCTTTATGTACTCTAGTTCCTGAACGCCCCTGATTGACTAGTCCACCGATCAATACCGGGATACAGGTGGACGTGCGCCCGGACCTGTAATACGGTGAGCTATAATTACTTTCTGTTCTCTGCTACATACACAAGGGCTTTAAATCCATGTACTGTACACTCCGTTTTAATGCCAAGGAAAAAAAAAAATTATTCCGGGCCGGTGCTACGTCCAAATTCTATAAATGGTTAAAAACAAAAAAATGCAACAAAATGATTTTTTTTAAACTCTGAGATGATTTTAATTTTTTTTTTTTTTTTGTAGATAAAATCTTGCAACTTTGTTACCAGAAAAATAAATCAACCTGCCCCAATTTTCAGAGGGGGGATTGTCTGGGGGTATGACCGAGTTCTGACGACGGGGGTCAAATGGATTATGGTGGCCCCTAATTTTTGATTCCGTTCCCGTGCAATCTCGCGGAGCAATTACTTACACAACATCCAATTTCTCTTTCACGCACAACATCTGTGAATTTGCCTTGTCACTGAAGGCTTCAATTTCTCAGACTGGCAGAGGGACATATGCTAAGGTTGAACAAAACCCTTTTTCACTTTTCTTTTCATTTTAAAGACGGATTGCCAGATGCAAGAAGAAGAATTTACGGCAAAAAAAAAGTTCATGCGCATTCATCTGCATATACACCGGGGAGTCGCCCGCAGGCGGCAATCGTTTGTACTTTGTAGGAGTCTTCAGGTGCCTCTAAACTTGTTAATTAATAAATCAAATGTTGTTAATTGGTTCTACCAGCTGCTGTTCAAGCAGTCTGTGTCAGAGAGGTTAACTTCATAAGGGAGGGCTTCGTTCACACCATCCTTGCAGCATTTTTTCTGACCGGACAGCAGGCATTGATGTGCCACGTGTTCCCGTGCGGCCGATCGCATTGCGGCTGGAGGGAGTGGCTGCGGTGCCATTCACGTCAATGGACTGCCACACCCCCCTCCCGCCCCACAACATAGTGCAGCCGCAATGCGATCCAGTGCGTTCCAGTGTCATAGGTGACACAGAAGGAGCGCTTGACCTTGAGAGAAACCAATTAGGGTGACCACACACCTTACGATAATCGTACGATAATCGCGGGAAATCCCGCGGTCTTACGATTATCGTAAGGTGTGTGGAAGCCGTGCGACCTCTGCTACTGTAAGGTCGCACAACTTTTTAACGTATGGGGGGAGTGAAAAGGGGTTTATAAGGGATTTTCCAAGGCACAGATGTGACAACTGTAGAAACAAAAGTAGAAGCTATATGGGCCTTGGATCAATGCAAATTTGTCAATTTCCTTTATTCATAAAAGGGGGGCAAAAATGTCTGTGCGTCTTATGGAGCGAATCCCTATCGCCCGACGCCCAGGACATGCAGTTTCGGGCGCCGGGCGAGTAGTTTTTTTGTACATTCAGCCCTGCTCTGGACAAGCATAGCTCAATGTACAGTGGGAGCCGCTGCTCGTTTAATACAAGTGATCTAATCAGATCACTTGGATCAAATCGATCCAAGTGATTTTCGGGGTCCCCCACTCCTTTGGGGAAAGCAAAACATATGACAAGCGCACTCATCAATTCGTCACCAGCTTTACAGCAAGGTGCACACGAAATGGGCTTTAAGCTGGTGAAGAATTGATGAGTGTGTTTATCATCTGTTTTGCTTGACTGATTTGGTGCAGTGACGCATGGGGGGGTCTTAGCTGTCATTGGTATGTGCGGGATCCCTTGTGCGTCTCTGTGCCTTTAAGGGGGTTGGGCTTCCTCCTGACAAACCTGCACCCAATTTAATCTTCTGCCCCCATGTGCTCCAAGATGCAGACTCTGATAGTTTAGAGTTAGGACCGCACTGCAAGAGGTGCCGCGGCTTTCACATTTTCTGCAGAAGACGTGTATCCAAACCTTTGTTTTTAACCTTAGTGGTGAGACAAGTTTTTTTTACATGCTAGCTTGTGAGTGTGCCAGGAAAACTTTTTGCTGTTCCACTCCTTTGGGGGACCCGTGACGTCCGTTCTTCGTCTGCTCTGTGTTATCGCTGAGACCGTGTCTCAGCTGTGACTAACTACACCTGTCACAGAACCCTACCCTCCCTGCATCCTATGGTCAGGTGCGCCTTATGGAGTGCAAAATACGGTATATATATATTTTTTTTATTATTTAACAAGTTAACACGTTAAATCCACCAAGATGCAAAGAGTTTTATGTGCCAAAAAACAAAAAAAACTGATTAAGGCATAATGAAAAAAAAATGGATATGACAACTTACAAAGGTCTTAATATAATAAACAATATATACGATTCCTTAAGACACTGATCGAGAACTTTAATATATATCGGTAAATTAATTATGTAATGAAGGTGAGTGATATTTGGTGGAGTTTTCTTTTTTCCTTTTCCTTCTTCAACAACATTGGATGCGGGGGACTATTGTAAGGAGGGTGTTGTCATGACGGATAAGATGGGGAAAAAGTAGGGGAACCAATGCCAGAAGGGGAAGGAGAGGGGGACAAAATAAATAAAAAAAGGGGGCTCGTATATTGTCCTGTGAAGGTTGTTTAGGGCAGTTGTATTCTGATCCCAGGCTGAAGTGATGAGGTCGCCCTATTGGGTGTGTCTATGACAGCCAATGCTCAAAGGAAGGAGTTGAATGAGCTGACTGTCATTCAGAAGACTGGTGACACCTAGTGGCAGAGAGGAATTACTGCGGTGGTGATGATGGCAGTTTCTTTTTTGGGGTAGGGGTTTAGGCATTGGATTGCAGCAAAAGTTTCTTCTTTTACAGGTTTATTTCCTTTTACCCGGAGATTTTATTTACGTGACAAATAATGGTATTTTTTTTGGTGATGGAGGTGATATATTAAGCTATGCTGTAACAGACTTGGTTTGGTTTTTCCCCCGTGCCACTATTGGATAATGATAACTATAATATATATAAAGAGAATCCAGCATGAAGCCAAGTCAGCATGGCTGTCCCTCTTAACACGTCACGGTGACCTAGATAAGAAGGAATCGAGCCGCTTCTCCTTTTTGAGCTTTGTGCTGAAGTCATCTCTGTTGTTTGCAGAGTCACTGAAGCCTCGGGTTAGAGTTTCACAATTCAGTTGTAGAGCGAAGAACTCCGTCTCCTTCCATCTGGGTGGCGTTTTGTTATTTTCTGCAGAATAACTTTTTGGAGAGGGCAAAAGGACGTCAAATCGCCAAGCCATGAGGAAAGTATGAAGCTCGGCGCTGTCTGCTGCGCGGCTGCTTTTCAAAGCTCTGATTTTGCTGTCCTGAGAGGCTGTGTTTTTCAGCTGAACTCCGGGCACATGCTTAAGGTGACACCAAACTTAGGAGTTAAATCATAAAAATACATTCAAGTTCCTTAACTATTAAAGGAGAACTATGGGGTTAGGGCTTTTCCCCATAATTCTCCTTAGGGTAATGGGAGGACACAAACTAGCGTCCTCCCGTCATCCTAAGCTCAGTATACCGCGAGCTACGGCTCACAGTATACTGAGACGCCGCAGCTGAAGCGGATCCCAACAATTATGTCTGGATCCGCCCAGCTGCGTGAGTGACAGCTGGCTCTGCCTATCTAGAGGCAGAGCCAACTGTACCCGCCCCCTCCCCCATCCATTCCGCCAGTCAGTGCTGGAGAATCGGAGCGGGGAG